CAGGATCTACAATTTTTCTCCGCTTTGCTCGAAGAGGATGATGCTGTCAAAAGTTTGAAATAAGAAAAATTTAGCAATACGGTGTAGTTTTTTTTTTTTTTTTTATTTTTTGCTTTTTTATGCGATTTCCTTTAAAAAGCATTTTTAAAGTAATTTTTAAAAATACCTCAAAAATAATTCAGATAGATTATTAGGGAGACTTTTTTCTTTTACAGTAAGTTGCATAAAGATTTTTATTTAATTATGAAATAAAGAATTTTTTATTTAAAAATTAAATCTTTTTTTATTTTTTTTTTTATTTTTAGCAAGTTGCAATGGATTTTTCACCTACTTAACTTCAATATTCACTTTCTTTTTAGTTCTTAGTCCACAGAATCACATTTTTTTATCCTTATTAAAATAATTTATTTAATAATCTTAAAAATAAAATAATTAATATTTAACTCGAAAAATTAGTATTACCCTGGCTTCGTTTTTAACTAAAAGTTATACATCCTTTCTAAGTAAAAGTTAAAACTTCATCAAAATAAATTTGACAATACATTTTTTTTTGTACACACGATATAAACATTAGAAAATTTGTAATGGTTTTATGGCAGGGCCGAGGACATTTCAGCACTTTATACACAGCCGTGTGCGCACACCCACATATATGGTTCGGTTGTGTCTCTGTTTATTTATTTAGGCGTGGGGGGGGGTCTGAAAGTTGGTTGAGGCACGAAACTGACAGTCACTATGCTATGTTGATTTCTACGTCCACGCTGTTTAACTGTCTCCATAAAAAATATAACAAATTGTTAAACGACACACGCATATTTGTGTCTGTATGTGTACACTGTACAGTGTGTAATAATAATTATAATTTTTTATGGAGAGTGGTTTTGTTCAGGATTCAGGTTTGTAAGGTTTTGAAATTAAAATGGTTGAAGTAATTACATCTTACGAGAGGTGTACAAAAAGGTCGAGGCCACTGTAAAAATATGTAGGCTATTATTTGCAGGTTGGATAAAAAATTAAAAAAAAACAACTTTTTTTTGATGGTGGTGGGGAGTTAGGTTATTAATTTCATCATCTGTATTTTGACTGGGGGTTTATTTAAAAAATCTTTTTTTTAAAGTTTTAAAAAGCGATCTTTAGAAAATACAACTTTTAAATGAATAAAAAAAAATCATTTTTCAAGTTTTTTTTTTTCTGTCTAGGCGCGCATAAATTTGTAATGAGTGTCAATGTCAGGTAAGTACTCTTAAAAAAACTGTTTATTACTCTGTGAAAGTTGGCATGACATAAATTTTAAAAGTTTAAAAAACACAAAACTCTACTAAAAGCCAATGAATAATAATAACAATTTTATTATTATCATTTGCTAGGGTTACGTTTTTAAACTTTTTAAGCGAAAATGTCACCAATTAACAGAACAAGCAAAAAAAAGTTAATAACTTTTAATTTTATTTTACTAAACTAGTTTATCAAAGAATTACTTTTTAATTAATAATTAAACAAAGTTAAATACAAATTAAATAAGCCTATTAGTGTTGTTAACATTTATTTTATTATTATAAATAAATTAAATGATTTTGTCAGCATTTTATTATTTAATAAAAAACAAGTAAAAAACTTTTAGTTTTAAGTGTAACTTTCCTGGCCAAATATGTGACAGTTTCCCGAACACATTTTTACCTTTTTTTTTTCTTATTTACAAAAATGTTTTTACCTTATGTCACATCAAACCTGCATTAAAGCACTTACAAAATTTCATTAAAAAAAAAAAAAAAAAAATAAATCCTGAAATATTACATTGCAAAATCCACAAAAAAAAAAAAATGTATTTTTGAAGTTATGATTTTACAAGCATTCGGGGAGGGTGATAAAAGCTGCTAGGTTTTTAAAACCAGTTTTTCTTTAAAGTGCTGATTGTGATAACAAATGCAACCGAAAAGGCAGCTTTAATTAAGTCAACCGCGCTTTTTGTTGAAGAAAGATTTTGGAAAAGTGTTGTCAAATTTATTTGATGAAGTTTTATATTTTTTAAAATTTACTTAGAAAGAATGTGTCTTATAAATGAAAGGCCAGAGTTAACCTAATTTTTCGAGTTAAATATTAAGTTAATTATTTTCTTTCTAAGATTATTAAATTAATTTAAGGATAAAATATGTGATTTTGTGGACTAAAAAAAAGGTGAATATTGATGAAAGTTTAAGTAGGTGAAAAATCCATTGCAACATGCTAGGAAACAAAATGAAAAATGATTTAATTTTGTAAATAAAAAATTCTTTTATTTCATATAATTATTAAATAAAATTTAACATCAAACTGTAAGCATTTGATTATATTGTAAATAAATGGAGAGTTACGGGTTTTGTTTTGAAAACAGTTTTTTTCACTTGTTTTGTTTGTTTTTTAGGCTAATCTACCACGTGGTCTCTTCCACGTTTGATGCAAACAAAAAAAAGTTTGTTATTATTTATTTATTTCAATAACAACCAGAAACAATAATTGCAACCAACATATCTTTATTTTTATTTTCTTTTAAATACTTTTTCATTGTTATCTTTTAAAATAGTGAATTATCAACACTCAAGTATTTATCATAATAATACTTTACAGTACACGCTATTTAAGTTTGTCCTTGACACTTTAAGAGGCAGGAAGGGAGAATTTAGTACAACTCAACAACGTCTGCTGATCTTAACACATATTCCATACATATATGAATATGTACTGGGGGTATTGTTATGGTCTGTGTATTAAAAAAATACTTTGCTAGTATTATACAGCAATAATATAAACCTTTTTTTAAATGGAATAATTTGTTGAGTGTGTGTTGGGATTGTTGTTAGTATTTATAAATTTAAAACTATCAGCAATTAACTAACTTTTTTAAATATTCTACTTAGGAACCACACTTATATATATAAATTATAGCCATATGGAGTATTTAAGTATTTTTTTCTCCATGTGGTTAATTTTTGCAAGTAAAAAGAGAAAATTGTCAAAATATCTCATTTATTTTAGTCATTTACAAGTTTTAACAAGTACCTTGAACATTTGAAACAAAAAAATTCAATGCATATTTTTGCGTTTTTCTATAAATCACGTGTTTTTTGTGCAATTGTGGATTTTACAAGAATACGAAAAATTAAAAAGCTTTTAATTACTGAAAGTGTTATTAACAAAATATATTACAAGTTGCCCATCTTTTTTTAATTTTTTTTAAATACACAAAAGACTGACCATAGGAGGGGGAGGGTATTTTTATTACTATAGTTTGCAAATAAAACCAAAAAAAGTTATTTTCTCATGAGTCTCATCAACCCGAAATCAAAAAATAAATAAATAAAAACACTCCCTGACATTTGTTTTCATCCCCGAGTCACGTAGACAAATGAAATTGGGGTAGTAGTATTGATGGGTCTCTCGGATTTCATTCATACGTAAAAAATCATTTTTTTTTTTTTTTTAAAAACAAAAGGCTTTTTAAATTTTTTTTAGGTCAAGTAGCTTGCACTTAAAAAGTCATAAAAAATCCACTTTAAAAAAATAGTAAATACTTTTACAACCTTTCCTTTTTTAGTTTTTTTTTACATAAATTTATAGATAGATTTGCTAAGAAATTTTCCGCCTAAAAATCATCTTTTAAAATATTTATTTGGTCAGATTTCCGAGTCATGAATCGTGGCTGAGAACTTTTCAGCACACTCCATTATGAATTGAAATTTATAGTTACTTAGTAGTACTAGTAATTTTTGTGTAAAGTCAAATTAGTGTATTTGTGCTCGCGCGCAAATACGCATTATGTGGTGTACAGTGTGACTACACACGTATGTGTGTAGTGTACAAATTTGTACGTACGTATATTTACTTATGCAAGTGTACGTATCTACCTGTGTAAATATCTTTCTTTTTACACACATATGTGTATACACAGTAGCCTGCCTGACAGCTATGTTTGTGTTGATGCGTATGCAAATGAAAGTGAGCGGGAGTTGTTCCCCGTAAGCCAATCAAAAACGGCTGTACATAAGACCCTTGACACTAAGTAGGAAATCTAACCAATGGAGATGACCGTTATTTGTGTTGTTGGTTTGCCAGGCGGAGTATTGACCAATCAACATCAAGCGTCTGGCTTCATATCATGTGTGGACGTCAATCAGTAAACAGCTTCGAATCAAAACAACAACAGTGAGACATTTTGCGAAGTTAACAGGCGACTAAAGTGTAGTAGACACAACATTTATTCGTGTTTGTGTTAAGACACTCAGCCAGATACCGTTCGGATTTGATTTTTTTTTTTTAAGAGATCTTAAACCAGGTTTAATATCTTAGGAAAAATTTTTTTTTAAGTTGCCTAAAGGATATTGCTATATTTCTTTTTTTCAGTCTCCATCGGATTCTTGAATTCCTTGTTTATTTTGATACGTTTTTTGGACTTTATCATTTTGCAACTTAGCAGATTGCTTTGTAAATTGAATTAAGAAAAAAAAAAAAGACCTAATTCCTAATCTATAAAGCCTTAATATTTTCTTTTTATTACACGAAAACCTTAACTTCATTCCTGAAGTTAACAAACCATAACATATGTGGATCTGAGTTTGTTTTGTAACGCATTGCGTTTAACTATTTTTTTAACTTTTTTTATTTAACTTTCTTTTATTTAACAAAAAGAAAAAGGTTTTCCCTTTTTTTTCTTAAACAAAAAGTTTGTAAGTCTTTTTAAATAGATTTGCAAAGAAGAAAAAACAAAGAAACAAACAAAAGAAGCTATAAAAATGGCCTTGGTAGTTCCTTTAAATCCTTATGAAAACAATGGCGACGCGGAAGATTTTCTTAATGGAAATTTGGACGACGTTTGCAAAGACGAAGAAGAAACGGAAGACACAATGAAGATAGACAATATGAAACCTTTGAGGATAATCCGAAAGGCAAAACGGCCAAGTAAAGCTAATCCCGATGGCCAAACTGTGAATGGCACAAGTACAATTATTAAAAATGGCAACAAATTAATGTTTTCTAAAAACAGTCGAAGATCAAGAAGCGGAAAAGGACGCGGTTTGCCGAAAAAAGGTCCGTACAAATGTTTTTATTTTTATTTAGGGGGAAGAGTTTGTAAAATACATACTCTGGAAACTGCATTTAAAAAAAAAAATCCTAATAAAAAAGGAGGGGGGCAAAGTGTATATTTATATTTGAAAATACAGTAGTTCACTTATCTTTTTTCAATCTATACTCTGAGTTTCATCAACTTTTTATTATAGGTAGCTCTACTTTTTTCGCGTAAAAACAGCATAATGAATATATTTCTTTTTACTTACTGGAAATAGTAAATTTAATCAGCTTTCAATTTAAAGCTAAAATCTTCAAGAATGCTTTGCATTTTTGAAAAATTCATTTTAAACCTTAGGTATTGAAAATTTATACCGAATTAGTGGAGGTACCTATTTTATTTTCAGGCCATCTTGTTTGTTTCCAATTTTCATAGTTAATAAAAAATACATTTATTTAAAAATAAGACTTTATAAAAAAAAAAAATACAAATATAAACAAAGCCACTGCTGTACATAGCAAAAAAAGAAAATGGTGAATTTTTATTTACGTTACAGTTAATAAAATAAAAAGTGAAAACAATTTCTACAGAATTAAAATTATTTTTAATTTTTTTTAACCAAATGCATGTACAATCGTATAGAATTTGACATCTTCACAAAAACAATCGGAATAAGTTTATTGTAAAATTAGAAATCGATCACCAAATCGATAACATTTATTATGAGAGAATTAACTTTTTTTTACTAAGTTAAGCGACAAAAGTATCAATAACTTGTAAAAATAACGAAGGCTTTTCTGTTTACTTTGTTGCACAGTTATTCCACGTTTTATTTTGGCAATTCTGTCCAAATGATCCAGAAAAAAGGTCAAGACGAGAATCGTAGAAGAATAAGAAAAAACTTTACAGAAAGATCTGCAAAGTAGCTCTGTCCTCGATATATAGATAATTCCCGGGGGGTGGGGTCGTAAAGAAATATAGATATGTAAATAAAGATCCTGTGCTCCAAGAAAGACTTCCGATACTTCTTGGAATGAAGAAACAAATCCAAAAAGGATTGGTTAATGACTTGACCAGGACAATTGTAACCACCACAACACCCTCCACCATGTGGCGGGAGAGTAAAAATGCCACTTTAAAAAAAAAAACAATAACAAAAACAAACAAAGACGTGTTGAAGCGCACAACTAACCCCCCCCTCCATCAACAAAGATGCCAACTTAAACACTATGGTCTGATGGGACCTAAGACGACCTTCTAGGTAATAGATAATTGAACTACCCACAGTAGCTGCAGTTTTTCTGTATTTAACTGTAACATTGACGAAAGCCTTGCAAGTTATTTCTGTTTTGGAAGATGTCATCTCTACTGTAAGAAAAAAGTGGATATGATACGGGCTTGGATGTGTGTGAACTGGGCAAAATGATCCCCCCCCACACACACACACACAAACCGACCAGTAAGGGAAACTTGATAACCTGATTAGGAAAAAAAAAAGCATCCGCGTATTTAAATGTGGCCCGTTTCATCATCGGTTGTGACCCCCATCCTTAGAGAATTCATGGAAAGGGGCTGAAGAATCTCTAGTTAGGAAGGCATCAACCATTGCTGGTTTGAAGGGAATATGCCTCCAAGAACTGTTTGAAACTGTCTTCCCTTGCGTGAATAAGGCTTACACAACCAATTATTAATTAGTAACTCCTTAGCCTCCCCCTCCACTTTTTTAAAATATATTTTTTAATAATTTTTATAAAATTGATTTCTGATGTTTTCAGAATTCCCAGTAATAACCTTTAAAAAAAAATGTAAAGTACCTTTTTTATTTATTACGTTGTATATTTGATCCATTGTACATCAATTATATCTTGAAATAAGTTATTTACCGCGTGATTCAACTAGGATCTGTACTTCGTATTTTCATCATAAATTTTAAAACTAATTAAACATTCGATGAATTACAATTAAAAACGGTTTGTTTTTTTTTTTTTTTTTTTTTAATTTTTTTTTTCTTTTGATCTGAAAAATTCGTAATCTAAAGATTAAAAAAATTAAACTGATCAATTAGAAAAAAAATTGCTATTAGTTTTATTTTTGGTTAAAGATTTTGCGTTTTTTTAAAAAAAAAAAAAAAAAGTAAACAAAGCAAATGTTTTGTAAATAAAGCGGTCTCCAAACGTAAAATTTTAGTAGTTTTATTAAAAATGAATGATTTCAGTAATAAACATTCCTCGCATTGTTTACCCTTTCACAAAGAGTCCTCTCTCTCTCTCTCTCTCTCTCTCACCCATCCATCCGTACCCACCCCCAACTCTATCTATAAGAAAGACGGTCAGTCTGGTTTTGTTGAGGTTTCTATTTTTCTTCTATTCTAGAATATTCAACACAATCCTTTTTAAAATAAAAAAAGGGGCTGTATTTTGGCAAAAAAATACTTGTCCCTGCAACACATTTTTCTTGACAACCCGCCCCATGAAGGGAACGAAATTCCTAATCAAAATCTGAATTTATTTTTAACTGTTTTTTCCCCTTCCTACATAATAAATTCTAATATTTAGACTTACTTTTTTCTATTGAACTTCTTTCGTAATTAAGAAAACATGTTCTTCTGTATATGTTTTTTTTTTTTGTTTTTTGTTTTTTTTATTTTTGGCTTCTTAATCTTAAATTTCCAGGAAATCTGTTTTAAAATAACAATATTGATCCAAATGACCACAACATAATTTCCTCGGTCACGTGTACTGTTTACTTTAAAATGTAAACACTACATTATTCTGCTTGGAAAAAAGACTCGATATTTACAGAAACTGCAACTAATTTGGTCAACAAAAAAAAAAAAAAAACTGTTGCAAAAGCAAAACGACTTGTATTTTTAGCTTGACTATTTCTTTCCTTTATTCCTCCCCCCCTCTTTTTTTTCTTTTTTTTTTCCCTCATTTTCATAAAAAAGGTTATCGAGTTCTGTTTTTCGAGAAGAAACCCAAATCCGCTCATTATAATATTTTAGTTAGATTATTACATCATTGCTTTGTATATATTTTGGTTGCACTTAACATTCCTGGTTTCTGCTGCTGCTGCTGCCACTTGGTGGTTAGCATCATCATTATCATCATCAATTTGTTCCCTTTCTCTCACTCTTTTTACAGAAGATAAGGGTCACTAGTCTCTAAATAAGCAATTTCTAAGGGTTTCTATTCCATTTTCTACATTTTTTCCTATATATAAATTGACAATAGATTCACTTTTTAGCCGCTTCAATATTCTCACTGCCAGCAAATATTGCCAAAATGACATTCGATTTTTAAAAATTGTTTTTTGTTTATTTGGATTAATTAAACATTCTTCTTCTTCTTTTTGAAGATTGCCCCCCCACCTCCCCGAAAATATTAAAGTTTTTGATAAATTCCCCATGTGATTTTGGATTAAATTGATTTTGATTTAATTATTTATATTAACTTTTAAAAAAATTCGACTTATTTTTATTACTGAATTTTTCTAACTAGATTTTTTTTTTTTTTTTTTTTTTTTTGAAAAAAGCTTCTTTATTGAATGTTTTTAGGGTCTTTTCATTTGGAACCATTTCTTTTCCCGTAAAAAACCTTAACCAAATCTACTTTTGTTTCCCTTTTAAAAATGGAAGCAAGGCACAAGAATAAAATCTGGCTTAATCTCCTTAAGAATCATACAGATATTTTCTGTAATATTTAATTTAATGATTAATCTGACAATTGCTGAGAGAAACTGACTTATTTTTGCAAAAGTTGTATAAGAAGCAGCTTGTTTATTTTTTTAACTACCATGAAAATAATTAATCAGCAAAATGTCTAATTCTTGGATTGATTTTTTTTTTTTTTTTTTTTCTTGCTTTCTTTTGTCAAAATGACCGTTATATTCAATTCTTTTGAAACAATGGCTTTTTTTTTTCCTGGTGTTTGTCGATTTGTTCTGCAGCTGTTGTTAGGGTTTCTGAATATTGTAATTTATATCCCAATATAATTACAAGCCCAATGCTCTACTTTCCTCGCCTTTTTTGTACAAGGGGCCCGTGTAAAAATTAATCAAGAAGGGGAAAAGGGATCTCTTCGTCTACCCTCTTCTTTTTTTCTGCAGCTTTCGTTCTTTCTAACAAATTTTGCTATTCATTCCTTTTCGTCCTTAACAATAATCTGCCTTTATTGAATTGGCCACAAATTCATTTCTTATTAGGAAAAATAAACCAATTTTTGGCATTTTCTTTCGTTATTCTATGAACATTTTTTTCCAGAACTTTCCGAGACTTGTGAATTCCGTAAAATATTTTTCCATTAAAAATGGTTGCCGCTTTGTAACCGAGAAAATTTTATTTTATTTTTACGTCTTTTGACTAATATAGCATTAACAAAAAAATTTCTTACTTTCGGTCCCAGTATCATAAGTAATTACAACACCTGAAATCTCGGAATTGCACGATTCTTAATCGGCAAATAGATTTGATGACCCAGCAAAAATGTTTCTATAATTACTACTTTTTTTTTTTTTTGCGTTGAATATTCCGTCTGTGGTGATCTTTGAATTTTTCCAACCGTTATTGCGTTGTTGATATATTGCCAGTCACCGTCTCTCCTTTTTTGGCTTGAAAAAGTCTGGGTAGAGTTTTTGGGGAATCGATATAGGATGAAATTAGAAAAACTGACAAGACTGATCGGGGTGGAATCGATACCAAAGTAAAACATTATTTAATAATAAATAAATAAATAGAAAATACAAAAAAATAGCCGGAGATAGAAATTTGTTTGGGTTGAATATGAATAGATTTTTGTAAAATGGGGGTTTGTTTGATAATTTAACCAACAATTTACAATTGTTGGTATTATTTATTATTCCTTAGTATTTTCGAACATGGTTTCACTTGACAGAAATAACTGAATTTGGTCTCTAGCCGAAATACTTCTTTTGTTTGATTCCATATGGTACTTTTTTCCTTTTCTTTGACTTGACTTTTTTTTTTTTTTTTTTTTTTTTTAACCATTCTAATTATTTAAATGATCTATCGTGAACTAATTCTTAAATTACTCCAAATGTTTTGCTTTAAAAGTTTCTAAAGATTCTCTTGTAAAGGTGGTTTTAAAAAGAAATTCAATGTCTTTTAATTTTTAGTTCTTTAAGGCTCCCCCCACTTTTCCGTCAAGGATTTTTGTTCAGATGCTGAAACTTTATCTAAAATTTAATCTTGAACTGCTTTGCCTCTTTAATTTTTAACCATTTTTTCCTCCAGACTTTCTGCTTAAAACAGAAAAAAATGCTAAGTTTAAAATATAAAGGAAGATAATTAACATGAAAAAGAAAATTGTGCCATATGTTAGTTCGTTAGAATTGATTTTTTTCTGCAAGTCTTAGTTAAGAAATCTAAATGTTTTAATAATCACTGTCGTCGTCTTCGCACAAAGACCCTTTGATGCACTCTGTAGGATTAAACGTCGTGAATCTAAAATAACTTGGGCTAATTATTGCAATTAAATCAATTTGACTTCTGTGTTCAAGTGGCCCTCATGGTCACAATTTGGCACTCTAATTGCCATTAAAAGTATTGGAATTGGCAATAGGTTTATATATATATATATATAATGACTAAGTGCTTTAAAAATAAATTTCTAGCTTCTGTTCCTCTTAGATTTGCTTTCTCTTAACTTTTGAAATTATTTCTTCAAAATCTGAATTTGAAAGTAGAAAATAATTTTTTTCCTCCTGTGTATGTGATGGGGCTCTGTTAATTAAATTTCTTTATAACTTTAAAAAAAAAAAAAAAAATCTACCCCCAGTAATAGTAAAGCTATAAAAGTGCTGTTCATCCATTGTTTTTCAATATCTGCATTTACTAAAAGAAACCATAATTCAAATAACTTAAACATCTTGGTAGATTCTTCAAATACATTAACCTTTAGAATGGTTACTGCAATTGTGCCTCTTAATTAGTGTGTGAATATTTGTATTTTATTAAATGGTGAGGTTGCATCCTGCATTTTTTTTTTTTTTTTTTTTTTTTTTGAAAGACTAAAGTTGGAAAACATAATTGTTCTGTAAGTGTAAAAGTTCTTGGCTGGGAAAAGGAGTAGGTCTCACTACTGATGAAAGAGTCTTGAACCTTTGCAATAAACTATTTGATGCAAACCTCTTCTTTGCCAAATGTGTCAAGACTTGTCTTTTAGAAAAGTATATCTTGCTAGATTGATGAGAATGGCTGCTGCTCTTTTTTTTTTTTTTTTTTTTTTTTTTTTTTCTTTCACTCTCTATCTCTACCCCCCCCCCATCCATTCTGCATATATTGTTGCTAATCTTTGACTGGGCTGCAGGATGTTCTCGCTGTTGAGATAAGAACCTCTAAACAGATTGTAGCTGTGGAGATTGTGAAAAGCAAGTGGCTCTACTTCTCTCAAAGCGGTTACTTAACTTGGTTGTGAGGCTAACCTTTCCTCTCCTAAGGGGATAAATTTTGCAAATCGGCATTCTTAGTTCTTTGGAAACTTATCAGACTCTGATTTCTACAGGCTTCCTGCCAAAGATGCCACATCTTCTCGTGTGGCTTCCATAAATGTTGAACCTGCTTTAAATAACTTTCTCTTGTTTCAGGTGGTGGTGGTGGCAAGGGTACCTGGGGACTTCCTGGTGATGAGGTATATGAAGATGGGGTCTGCAGAGATGTACATGATCCTAACTATGACCCTGAAAGCCAGGTATTAAAAAAAAAAAAAATCATCTTTGATGCACTTACTGAAGTGCTACCTAATTTTATTTTTTTCTAATTTTTAGACTTCGACAGTTATATGCAAATTATTTGTAAATACTTTTCTTAATTGCAGGATGAATATATTGTGGAAGAGACGGAACTTGAGGTTGATGACGAACAGTTCAATAGGTTAGTTGAGCCCCTCCTCCTTGAATACTTCGAACATGGAGACACATCAGATGTTAGGGTAAGTTTCTTTGTGTGTTTTTACCCCCCCCCCAAGGGGACCTTCACTGCTACTCTCCCCCCCTCTTATTTGAAGGGGGGTGACATTAATTTTACCTGCATCAATAGGTTACATTATAGGTTCCAAGGCCATTTCTTTGGAGGGGGCAGCATGAACTCTGCTCCACACCATGGTTTGGTCCCTGTTTGCATTGGCGTAAATAAAACTGGGAAATGCTCAGTGTATTCTCAACTGAATGTGAGGTGGCACATGGAAAGAAAATCTTTTATAACAGGCTCTTATCTCCCGCTAACTGCACTGTGATACTGCCTGTTATCTAGCATGCAACCTGACTATATAAGCCTATGCCCAGAATCCGTTACCCGAGTGACGCTTGATTCTGAAACTATATAACTAATATATACACCTTTCCCTTTTTCTGGACAATAGCACCTATTGCTTCTGAAAGTGTCACATTTTTGGCAATACAAATTGTCCTAAAACTAAATCCTTTACATTTCACTTCACTACAAGTAGCTCCTGACCTACTAGGCAGATATGGTGTGGGTGGGAGAAATTGCTAGTTTTTGCTGTAAGTCTTAGATATTGCATCTCTGCTGTTTTCAGACAAATTTTGAAAATAAAAAACCTTTTTTTTTCTTCCAGGATAGTCTTCAGGATTTGAATCTTGGTCACTTGACTCCCCAGGTAACAGAATTAGCCATTAATCTGGCTCTTGACAGGAAATCCTTACAGAGAGAAATGACCTCCGTATTGATCTCTGATTTATATGGCAATGTGTTCAATCATCAGAATATTGCTGATGGCTTTGACAGTGTGCTCAGAAGTCTCTCAGAACTAACACTTGATGCTCCTGAAGCACCAACGGTAAGCCTTTTATCAATCCTCTTACAGTTCTTGTTGTCATCCTTTAGTTTGTCTCTCTCAGCTCTATATTAACCTGGTGTTTGTCGGCAACTGTCCCCCCCCCACACACACACCAAAAAAAAAGATAACATGAATACTTTCTCTATTTCCAGATTGTTGGTCAGTTCATAGCCCGAGCAGTGGCTGATGATTGCCTGCCTCCGAAATTTGTCAGTAGCTATAAAGGCAAAGTGGATTGTCCTCATGCCAGGTATGTGTGCCTTCCTACTCTGGCAAAGAAATTCTATTTCTAAACCTTTAATTAACCTAATTCCCCACTTAGACTAGTTGCAATCCTGTCTAATTTAAGTCATACTTTTTTATAGCTTTCACTTCACGCTTAAAATTTTTCCTCTTCATTCTCGTCTCCTTCTCTTCATTCTCGTCTCCTTCTCTTCATTCTCGTCTCCTTCTCTTCATTCTCGTCTCCTTCTCTTCATTCTCGTCTCCTTCTCTTCATTCTCGTCTCCTTCTCTTCATTCTCGTCTCCTTCTCTTCATTCTCGTCTCCTTCTCTTCATTTCGTCTCCTTCTCTTCATTCTCGTCTCCTTCTCTTCATTCTCGTCTCCTTCTCTTCATTCTCTTCTCCTTCTCTTCATTCTCGTCTCCTTCTCTTCATTCTCGCCTCCTTCTCTTCATTCTCTCCTTCTCTTCATTCTCGTCTCCTTCTCTTCATTCTCGTCTCCTTCTCTTCATTCTCGTCTCCTTCTCTTCATTCTCGTCTCCTTCTCTTCATTCTCGTCTCCTTCTCTTCATTCTCGTCTCCTTCTCTTCATTCTCGTCTCCTTCTCTTCATTCTCGTCTCCTTCTCTTCATTCTCGTCTCCTTCTCTTCATTCTCGTCTCCTTCTCTTCATTCTCGTCTCCTTCTCATGCTTATTATATTTAACACTGGTTATTCCCAAACAATCAGAAATTGTAAACACGCACACTGATGTTGACAATAACTAATCAACAAATTGTATACTTGCCCTGTTTGATATTGATCTATGCTTTACCCTTAAATAATTTTTTCCTCTCCTTCCACCCACTTTCCAGGGCTGCTCTTGACAAAGCTGATATCTTACTAAATATGAAGCATGGCATTGTCCGCTTGGACAATGTGTGGGGAACAGGAGGTGGACTACGGCCAGTCAAGTTTCTTGTTAAGCAAGTAAGTCTTCCACACTTTTTTTGTTTCCTTCAACCATTGGCTCCATATTTTGGTTTCTCTTTCATCATTTCAAACTGTGACTATATAGATCTTTGTAATCTATTTTACCTCTTTTACTACAGATAGTGCTGCTGTTGAAAGAATATTTGTCTTCTGGTGATATGGTAGAAGCTACCCGTTGCTTACAAGAATTGGAAGTGCCTCATTTCCATCATGAATTGGTTTATGAGGTAAGTTCTTTGCTGATCTTACTAAAAACCTTGAAAGCCATCTCCTTTTCAATGCGATGGAGATAGACTTCTTGTCATTTGTGTGGGAGACAGGGCCTCTTTTACCAAGTAGCTTGTTGTTCAATCACCTTGTGGCCTAGTACCCAAAGCCAACATGTCTAGAATACTACGTATGACATTTCAGAAAGTACATTTGTACTAAAATGTTTTGGGGATATTCTCTCTCTCTCTGCCTCTCTCTCCGCCTCTCTCTCCGTACATTTAATTGGTTCTAATCTCATCTAAGTATACCTGGTGTACTTGGGACAACCCTGTAAGCAATTTAAGCTTATGCTCAGCAGGGTAACAAATTTCAATAAGTACCCTGGTACTAAAGTGAGGTTTCTCTTATTTGAGTGCCTGAATATTGGCTTGATTTATTTTTCAATCATGGGACCTACTTTAAAAGTACCTGCTGAGGTGCCAGAGTAGTCATGTTTTATTTTTTAATACAAAAAGGTTAAAATCAAAGTCTTGCTCAAAAGATTAAAATGTTGTTCTCTTCACTTACAACAGGGGAAGCCTTGCTTCTTTTTCAACATTTTTAATTTTTGCAATATGCTACAACAGCACTAAACCTTCTGACCTTTTTTTTTTTTTTTTTTTTAAAGCTTTGTTTAGTAAGGATGTTTTTGTTATATTTGCTAGGCGACTGTAATGGTGCTAGAAGATTCAACTGAAAGGGCTGCAGAAATGATGTGTAAATTGCTGAAGAGTTTGTGTGTTGCTGTGATAATCACTCCTCAGCAAGTGGTGCAGGGATTCAGAAGGGTTTATGAAGCAATGCCAGATTTGTGTCTTGATGTTCCGGCTGCATATGTGATTTTAGAGAAGTTTGCTGCTGCCTGCTACAAAGCGGGCGTCTTGAGCACAGAACTCTATCAAGAATTACCTCAAAGGTAGGCAACACCAGTCTTTTCCTATTGACCCCTTTTTTTTCTTCTGGGAGTGAGGGTAACTTGAAAAGTGGGTGGGATGCCTCTCCTCTTAAAATGGCTTCAATTCTTTATGCCACACGTTTTGTTCTCTAATCTTAAATTAGACCTGTTTGCTCTCATCAAGTGTGATGAGGTCATATCAGTGTTCAAAGATTATCCATTAAGGACAATTCATTTGATCTGATGACATATCCAGTGTATTTGGCAAGTACACATAAGGATATTTGGCCACGTGGATCTTTATCTTTTGGTCATACCAGTAATAGCTATGATCACTGGCTTTCAAGTATAAAGATGAATCCTTGATTACATTTGTATCCCCCTCTCCCCTGTTTTGTTTTATTTTTATTTTATAACTGATTAGCTGACATCTGTCCAAATTAAAATTGACTTTAATGACGTCTTAACATTTTGGCAATTTGTTTTGCAGAGAATAAATAAATCTTGAATGTCATCTTCAAATTATTGATATAATTTTAAGCTCTGTGGAAAAAATGTTTTAGTTTGGGGAGAGAGAAAAAAAAAACGAATTTTTCTGTTCTCTTAAGAATTTCTTAATGTCCAAAACTAACCTAAATTGCTGCATTAATAACTTTTGTTATTATTATTATTGTTATTATTATTGTTATTGTTATTATTATTATTATTATTATTCCTCCTCCTTACCAGAGCTGTTTCTCTTTCAGAGGTCGCAAGAGATTTGTATCCGAGGGCGATGGAGGTCGAATCAAAGATCCGCTGTTCTAAAGCGGGGTGCATTTCCTGGATTCCGGTGCAGAATGAGGGTCCACAGACATTCCTCTCCTTACCTCTAGCTGCTGTTGCAGGTTTTTTTCTCTCCTCTCATACTCCCCTCCCCCTCTCCCTGGCTGCATCAGTAGCAAATGTGGAAGCCCTCAACAGAAATGATGGCAGCAGTAAAAGCCATGCTGGTCAGTGGTCAAAACTCTAAACAAAGACAGAAGTTGCTTTGCAGTACTTAGAACTACAACTTGGGAACGGTACATTCACTCAAATTTGGTCTTCTTTCCCCCCCCTCCTTTTCACAACTTTTCATTTTTCTATTTGGGATTAACCTACAATTCATGAAACTGAAAATTAATCTTTCACATTTGTCTGCCATTCTATCTTCATAGGGATACATTTTTTTATTTTTTTTTTTTTTTTTTTTTTTATTTTTTTTTTTCTTCCTTTCAATAATGCACAAACATATCAAAGATCAGACGACCAGGATTGAATTCGTTAACCATTAGATCATCTTCCAAACAAATAGGTTACTCAACTTAAATAATACAGATGTACACTTTCTAAAATAAAAATTTCTTTTCCTCTCCCGACCTGAATGAGTGTTTCTGACTAAAAGTTGAAGGTTTGACTTGTATGTTTGTGGCATTTTCTCCTTCTAAATCTCTAACAAAAACTAAAACATGCCTAGAATTTCTGCTCATTTTGCATTCAACTCTCTCTTGAGAAAACCTTTGCTAGCTTTTTGATTCTGGATAAAGATAATCCTTTAAAAAGGGCAAAAAATGCATTGCAAAAATGGTACAGTGAAGTCTTACTTGGAATGTTTATGCAAAACCCTTTTTAAAAAGGGGTGGGTTTTTGTTTAGTGCCAAAATTGACTTCTGCTAGCCAAGGTAACTTCTCTGTGCTGAAGACACTTCATAGAAAGACTTCTGTGTGGATCTAGTTTTTGTTACTTTAACTCGTCATAAAAAGGGCTTTTTGTTAAAATTCATACAATTTTCACTTTTGTACTGCATAAATTAAAATAAGAGATTTAAACTCTTCTCATGATGAGATGTTCTCATTTTAATTGTCCCCACCTGACTTTCTACTCTCCTCTCCATCTCTGGTCTGAAGCCAAGTCTTTAAGTTATAACATAAATTCTTTTTTTCACCATCACCCCTCTCTGGGGTGATGGTGGGCAGGACTGATTTGATTTTTTTTTTTTTTTTTTTTTTTTAAAACAAATCATGGTTTTTCACTGCTTGCACATCTTGACTGTTCAATACGGCATTTCTTTAACCCCCTTCCCTCCTCCCAACTTCTTTCTCAAGGGTTTCTTTCCTTTTGTGATATGCATCAGACTCTGTCAGTAAGCCCAATCCAACCATTTTTTTATTATTTTTTATTTTTTTATGCTTGTATCATTTTTACAAGCTGTAGTAAAACACACAAAAAAAAAACAAAAAAAAAAAACAAATTTCAAGAGCAAACCAGTCTTGTTTTTTATTGTGTTTGTGTTCAATTTTCTAATTGAAGTGGCTTGAAAGGAATGGTCGATTCTGCCTTATGTGCCCAGACATTTATCTTTCCTTGATGTGTTGAACTTTTCTTTTTTTTTTTTTTTTTTTTTTTCTTTTTTTTTTTTTTTTTTTTCTTTATCTACACCCCCCCTTCCGGTTTGATTAGTTTTTTGTTACCCACAAGGGAAGCTGAAACAAACTGAGCCTTAAAAATAATGAATGAAACCTAAATAATTACTCTGCAATTAGGCAACTTGAGCTGGATTAAGTTTTCCCACACTAATGGAATTAACATGAGTTTTCTTTGTGCTATAATGAAATTTTTAGATTAGAAAAACATTCCCTGCTACTTGGGATATTTGAATCCTTAATACTAATTCAAACAGATGGCATTAGTGTATTAGGTTTTTAATACTAATGAGCCTTTTGGTAAGGCTAAATTTAGCTGCGTTGTCTGTGGCTATGATTGTTTTTGGAATTGTTTCACCTTCCATGTTATAGTGTCATGCATTTATAGAGATAATTTTGACCAACCTTCAATAAAACCACGCAATGTGTGCGCATGTTCTTTATTTTGCTTAGTTGGCTGTTAGTGTACTTTTTTTTTTTTTTTTTTTTTTTTAACTTTTATATAATTTGCTATTCATTTTATTCTCTCCAAATGTGTACCTTAAAAAGCCCAACATCAGTTTGATTTCATTTCTCACTCTGTCTATAAGTAGATCTTTGCTTCTAATTTGAGTGATAATGCCTTTTCAAAGCAAATGAGTTTTTAGCTAGTCTGGCATAAGGCTATGGTACAGTTGTAGTGCTAGCAAAATGCATGCCTAATTTGGAGATATATTTAACCTAAGTAGGTTTCAGGACTTTCTTTTTTTTTTTTTTTTTTTTTTTTTTTTTTTTTTAGTTAAACAGGTCTTTTAAATAGATGGTCCTTGTCTGTTTTAAGTCTTGGATGGGTTCTTGTAGGGGTAGTCTTTTAGTGTCTGATGAAAACATGTTGGAATTGTGTCGGGGTCCTTCTCTCTCTCTCTCTCGCCTTTCTGGAGCCTTACAATTTTAAGTTGACTAATCAATATTTGAAAGAAAAAAAAAGGGCTTCAGTAAAATGTGGGACCAAATCTGGTAGAGATCAGGTCACTGGGTGTAGGGGTAAAAGTGGATAACACCTGAAGTACTTGGTTGTAAAGGTAGGTGTTGAACATTATATGTGCTATATCTTAAATAATGTTTATGATGTTAGTGGACACATGTTTAAGTAGACATCTACTAAAATATTTATGGTAATGTCAAAACTGGCTAAAGGATGCATTTCTGGAGCACTCCAATAAGTTTTAGTAACGGGAGAGTAGGTGTTTTCTAGTTCATTAAAAGTCTTTAGACATGGGCACTACAATTGGTCAAATACAATGTCATTGGATTCTCACCAGTTATTCCACTTCAATTTTTGATGAGGAGGTGGCAGTACTAAATACAGTCAAGCCCTGCTACTTCTAACTAAACCCCCCACCACCACCTTTTATTGCAAAATCTTTATGAAGAATTTTATCTACAAATATTGGACACAGCAGATTAGTGTACACATGAAGGCGTCAACACTTGTGCGCCTCAAGTGATCTTCAGTGTCATCCATTTTATGAAATCTTAATGTTAAGTACAACTGCGTCAAGACTAGACAAAATTCTATAGCCAAAGATCCAATAAGAAAGAAAAAAAAGAATTAATGATATAAACAAAGCTAGTCACTTCAAATTGGTTATGGCTTCCCTTAACCCCCCCTCCCATACACAGGATGGCAATTATAAGTCACTATAAAGTTACTTAGAATAAAAAAAAAAAGCAAAATGTCAAAAACCTTATATATATATATATATATATATATATATATATATATATATATATGAGATTGCTTAAAGCATAAAACTAACTTGGCTATGCAACCAAATTTTCAGACTCTAGGCCAAAACTTTTGCATTTTCCTTATTCTCGGTATAATGGCACCTGTCTGGGATTTTGTAGGCAGATCGTTGACAGTAAACCATCATAGCTAAAATATATGGCATATTATTGCCAAACTGCTTGTCTATCGGGGGTGTAGACTTTCTTTGCTTTTGTCTTGAAATTATTGCCACCCATCAGTTTTGAAGAATTGAAATTTTTTTTTTTCTTTAAAACTACTTATTGAGCATTTATCAGGGAGCTAAAGCATTTTAAAATATTTGTTTAATTTAAAATGTCTTTCTTCAGTTTAATATAGACAAGCAACCATGCCCAGCTGGTTGATCAGAATAGAATGGAGCAAAAACGGCTTCATGTTTATAAGTAACAGTATATCTTCAATTTTTTTTTTTTTTTATATAATTTGAATTAATGCAGTTACCGATATAAGAGAAGTAGTCAGTATTTATTCAAAGTTTGAGGACATGAAGCCAACATGTAGATCCACTTTAGACCACTATTATTTTGGGAGTTTTTGAAATTCAATTTGTCATTGTGCTTCCAGGCATGTGAAAAAAAAAATACATTTATAAATCAATTGTTTGATGAAAATTGATTGAAAGAGCAACGAAAAATTAGAAATTTATGTGGGTTTTCACTATATAGGTGGACTCAATTATCAAGTTAAATGACTTAAAGAATTAACTTATTGCTGGCTACACTTGACTAAAGTTTTTATTAGATTGCTTGAAAATCGGAGTTTTTAGTTTAAAATTTCAACATTTTTTTTTCTTAACACAAACCCATCTCTTACATTGTACAATGTGCCAAGTTTGGTCAAAATTGGTGAAAAGCTATCACAGACATTTTTTTTTTTTTTTTTTTTTTATTATATAAGTTGCTCACCCAGTGGCTTCTTAATGCCAGAAAAGTAACATAGCAGTTGAATGTTAGCAAGCAAGTCCCTCTCTCTGCTTTTTATGGACTGGACACATAACCACATACTAGTTATTCTTATTCAAATCAGTCTGTCAGAAACTAAAAATGGTCTGTTTAGAATTAAAACTGAAATTAATGCCATGGTTGGGAGGACTTAAATCCTGTCTGCAATATTTGTGATTTGTTCATGGATTCACTTCTCCAGTTTGATTGACACTGGGGATATTTATTACTTCTGTTGTCACTGGCTATGGATCAGCTTTACTCTTAAACCAACAGTATTTCTGGTTCTGTCCATCAATGATGCACAGCATTGAAATTACCTTGATAGAGAGCCTAGACCTGCCAACTGACGGGCTCGAAGTACCCGGATCTGTGACTTCAGTTATGCCTGTGAACAAATTCTAACTTCCAAGTATGAATTTCTCAAAATTATGAATTTATTTTCTTTTGGTTAAGTAGGTGACCAATTAGAATTTTCTATTTTTGCAAACTACTGCTGGTCATAAAGATTGATCAAATGATTTCATATTCTTTAGTAAAGAGGAAATCTCCCTCTCCCAAAAGGACTTACTCTGGGACCTCCTTCAAGTCTTGGACCAACCATTATTTATCCTTACAATAGTCATTTATTTTATGCCCTTACAACAATCTTATTTGGTAGCCCTCTGCCTTGAGTGGCTCTTGTGCTTTTAATTTGGTGAAGAGCATAAACAACTAAAAAAAAAAAAATATCTTTATAGGGGGTAATTACAACCCTTTTTTGCAAATTTTGTTGGCAGCATTGTGTGTGGAAAAGGTAACTACATTCAAAAGTAAATG